TAAAAGTTCTTTTATATTTAATGAACTCAGTTGACATTGCTTTCTCATTCAAGAACTTTTAACTGCAGACAAATCCTACCTTTCCCAAAGAGAAAGATTCCCTGCTGCACAGAGCTAATCATCCAGGCAATTTATACTAGTGATATTTAGTGGTATCTCTGAGCTAAAAATTTCCTTTAAGACTCAAGTCTTTTGCTATGGAATATGTGATTTTTGGCATACTTGGAAGTTAGTTCCTTTGAAGTGAGTTAGCTTAGAAATAAACAATATTAATATATTTGTTGCAGGTATCTGTTTAAAGTGTCTATGCTTCTATCAATAAGAATGCCCCTCTCAGGCTCATGTATTCAAATACTTAGTTATCAGGGAGTGGCACCATTTGAAAAGATTACTGGTTATGGCATTGTTGGGGAAGGTGTGGTCTTGTTGGAGGAAGTGTGTCTCTGAGGTGGGCTTTGAAGTTTCAAGGGTACAAGCCAGGCCTAATGTTTCTGTTGGCTTTGGATCTGTATCTAGAACTCTTAGCTACCATGTCTGCCTGCACCCTGCCATGCATGATGATAGTCTAAACCTCTGAAACTGTAACGATGCCCCAATTAAATACTTTCTTTTTATAATAGTTGCTGTGGCCATAGTTCAGAAGAACACTGACTAATGTTGTGTCTATTATTACAAAGACAGGTCTTAGACAATGAAAAATATATATCATACAATTATATATATATACATATATACATATATATATTCATTTATACAAATATATATATATATATATGTATGTATGTATATCATCTAATTTTGTGACCATTCTTTTCCTCATATTAACATGACTTGTTCACTATACATAGAAACACAGCAGAATCAGTCCTTCTTAGGAACTAATTTTCACCAAGCTTAGTAAAGAACTGACTATCTTCTTTAGTGAATATTAAAATTCTTTTAAAAATTAGACAGCATAGAAGTATTATGACACAAATATAATTTCTCAAGTCTACTGTGAAGCCCAATGGATGTGGAAAAGGATCCTGGAGCACTCAGAATTTGTAAGAATTGCATGTGTTCACTTATCTAAACACTCCCAAAGTTTCCTTATGGAAGACAGAGGATAGAAAGAATTAAGGCCCTTGGGAGATCTTGCATTTTTAATGATACCAGTCAACTTTCAGAGATAGTGAGGAAGTTTGAGAGGAGTCTAGCTGTGGACTATCACTACCTAGGAAAAGGTTGTTCAGTGCTGGAGTCTTTGCTGATTATTCCACCTGTGGGAATTCAAAACCACAGCAGTAAAAACATCTAACATTGGCCTTAGACTTAAAAAAGAAATGCTTGAAAGAAGTGTCTACATTCTGTGATTAGGACCTGCTGTTTGGACACTTTTCAATTAGATTTTCACTGGATGGTGAGGACTGTGCTGGACAGTGAATTTTTTATGAGTTCTATGCCATGTTTCTTGTGGTTTCCAGGAAAGCGATAAGACCAAGATCAAACCCTCCCAGACTGTACCTGCGATTTCCCCAAGGGAGTCTCACAGCCTCCTGGTTTATTTAAGAAAGTCTCCTTGAGGGTGGTTCATATCCTACCACTAATGACTCACTCACTACCTGGTCTTGTCCTGCCATCAAATCAGACGTTTTTCTATCTAAGAAACTTTTACTGTTCTCTTGAACAGAAGCCCTTGAAAGAAGGTGCCCTTGAAAGACCTAGAACTTTGGAACAACAACAGCAAACCAACCAAACAAACAAAAGCCAGGAATTGGTACCCAACAGGGATGGGTAAGTTTCTTGTTTGACAAATATGGACTGCTGGGCAAGCAGCTGCTTTTCATATGCTTCAAGTCTGGGAAGGAAGGGATGAAATTCAGAAACTACCTTAATGAACTGTGGTGCTTCAATGAACTCCGTCAGAATCCCTTCTGTGCTGCTGCATCAGACTCACAGAGCTCTAACCAGAAGGTAAAATCAAAATCTGCCTGCAAGTGTTAGAGCCCGCTGAGGGCTGAGGGTATGGGAGTGCAGATCAGCTGGAGTAGTCAGTCCATGGGAATGCCACAGGTGTCTGTTTCTCTCCCAACACCAAGAAGCTGTTTTCTCAATCTCCTGCTTCTGAAACAGAAATAAGAAGGCTGCCTGTAGTTGTTAATATTCTCCCTTCTCCCGTCTCTTGAACATGTTCCTCAATCGTCCCTAGCTTCCCTATGAGACTACAATAGCAGGAAAATAGATTTCCTCACATCCTCCCAGCCTTCTTGCCCCTCAGCCACACTCTTGCTCCATCCTGGTCAACGCCCCCACCTAGCGGCTCAAAGTCGCCAGCTTCCATCGGTTTTCAAAGGCTTTTAACTGAGCTTAGCTAGTTAGTAAGGTAATAAAGGTGACTCATGTGGATAGATGGAGTTGGAGGACTGGAGGACAGGGCACCTTAAAATGTGGTGTAAAAAATGCTTAATATATCGAAGTCTCTGATCTTAGGGAAAGGAAAAGAGAAAGAGAGAAAAAAGGTGGTATTTTTATCCTCTCAGCATTTACTGCAACCCAGTTTAAGCCTCTTAATTAAAGGAGCCCCCTTTCCAAGCTTGGAAGAATTGTCTTTTTTTTTCGACACTAGCTGCCAAATGAAAGTATACCGATTTAGTTGACTGTTATCAACTGTCTTTGCCTCCCCTAAAATGTAACTGCTATAAAACTGGGTCTGAATTTGCTCTGTTCGTCTCCATATTTCTAGCACAGAGGAAAACACTCAGCATCAATTATGCTTTCTAATTTTTGTCTGCCTTGCTGGCTTAGAGGGGCAAGAATTCAGGGAACTTGGTTCGGGACCATGTCACCTTCAGTTTCTTGTAAAGGCCTGAAATCGCTCCACCCTTAAAACTGGGTGGCTGATAAAGCAGATGATCCTGGCTGAGCTCTGGGATGGAATGATTTGAGTCTTTAAAAACACGCTTGCAGAGAACCTGATGATTTCAGTTATACCGTGGCTCTTATTAGACCCATTCAACATATCAAATGCAAACTTAGGCTCGAGGGAATTCTAGTGGGGACCTCTTAGTCCTTAAGACTGCGAGAATACATTGGCTTTTACTTTAAACCTTTGATTCGTAAGTGGACCCTGTATTTGTTTCTGTTCAGATTGGAGGAAAAACGGAGGCTAGAGAATCTGCTCCGGGTTTGGGGACCGAGCTGCTAAGCTTACTGCCCCCTATGGCAGAATCGCTATCCTTTGCGAAAGGCAAAGGAGAGTGAGTGGTGACTGTAGTTGAGATGGCTCAGAGGCCCCTTCATTTTTCCTTTACTGGGAGGGATGAGTGGAAGAACTTCTTCCTGAAAACTCGGGCGCTGAGCTGCGGAGCCACTGGGGCGGGAGGACGGAGCAGAAGGTTTAATTTTGCATACAGTAGGCTTCTCTTTATGACACTGTTTTACATCTTGCAGACAGCTTCTCTCCCGTTGACTCACAAAGTTAAAGGGGAGGATTGAGTGACAAGCACAATTTTCTAAATGTAGATAGGGAAATTGTGTTTTTGATGTACTAAGAGTCAAAGATGTCTCAAAGCCCCAGGCGTGAAGTATAACATGCACATATTGGCTGCTTCCTTCTAAGGAAGCATCACTGGCGCCTCCTAAACTGGGTGTGGCCCTCGGTGTGGGGTTAGATTCCAGAAGGGAGAGTTCAGATATTGGGGCTTGCTCCACCTACCACCAACCACCAGGAAAGAGGGAGGTGGTGGTAGGCGGAAGCCTAGACCCGGACGCCCGCACTAAGTCTGTGGCAGCGACTAAGGGCGTGGGTTGACTGCGGAGCTCAAAGACTCAGAGCTCTCAGAGGCAAGAACAGGACGTCCCGTTTCCCATTCCCCCTTGAAAGGCGACTCCAAGTTTCAGGGTCGGGAGAAGGGACAAGGTGAAGAAAGCTGCGAGAGAGGGCGGTAGGACCCTGCGGGAGATTCTGTAGCAAGGACGGGATCTGGGCGGGAGGAAAGAGGGAGGGAGGAAGAGGGCAGAAGGGAAGGTGCTTTGCAGCGGCGTCTGCTCTCGCCGCACTGCTCGAGTTGCACAGCCAGACCAGGCTGGACCCAGATAATATAAAAGGAGCCCCACCGGCTCTGAGGCTCACACCCAGCTCCCGGGCTGGCGCACATCGGTTTCCTCCCGCTCCCCCAGACACCTGCCCCCTCCCGGTGTGCGGCTCCAGGTGCCCCAGCTCCGTGCGCCCCGTGGCATGGCTCCCAGCGACGCTGCTAGAACCCTGGAAGTGGTGACAGCTGCAGGGCGGTTCGAACAGCCGCAGCTCGAGCCCCAGAGTCTCTCCTCTGGTGGCCTCGTCTCCACGGGGCAGCTCGCTGGTGTGGCCAGCGCGTGAAAAGGGAGGGAGTGCGGAGCTCCGGCTCCTGGCGCCGCGCGGCTAGCTCGCAGACTTCACAATCCCCAAGTCAGGCGGCGGCCAAAGAAAGTGGCAGAGCTCCGGGCTTGGGGGTCACGGGGAAGGGATGCAAGCCCAGGACTCTGCACTGGCCTGCAAGCTTCGGTCTGCACAGCCAGCAAACTCCTGCGGGTGGAGTCTGCAGATTCCGGAGCGCCCAGGTTAGGAGAAGCTGAGACCTGAGCAATTGGGGTAAGAGGTCCCACTAGACCCCGAAACCCCTCTTCAAGCGATACTTAGTCCTTCTCCACTGTTTGCCTCCAGGGAACCTGAGAGAAGCTGGACTGGGTGGGCCAGTGCTTTAATCACCCGGGCGAAGACGGGGCGTGGAGAGGAGCTAGCAGACGCGGCAGCAGCGCCTGGCGCACTGGAAGTGCAGGGGACGCGCCCGCAGGCTTGGTGGCCGCGCCTGTGACCTCTCCTTTAGGCTGGGAACACAGGCGGAGGAGTTACTGAGGAGCCCACTGAACTGGCTAGCCAAAGGAGACAAGCCTATAGTCTCCATGATCCTTCCGTCCTCTGTTCTTTCCCTAGTCCGCTCCATGTTCAAGAGCTGCGCTCCGGAGCCAGGACGAGGAGAGCTATGGAGGAGCAGGGTATTCAGTGCGCCCCGCCGCCTCCCGCCGCCTCCCAGACAGGGGTACCTCTCGTCAACCTCTCCCACAACTGCACCGCCGACGGCTACATTTACCAGGACTCCATCGCCCTGCCCTGGAAAGTCCTGCTGGTTGCTTTGTTGGGGCTCATCACCTTGGCCACCACGCTCTCCAACGCCTTTGTAATCGCTACTGTGTATCGGACCCGGAAGCTGCACACCCCGGCTAACTACCTGATCGCCTCTCTGGCAGTCACTGACCTGCTCGTGTCCATCCTGGTGATGCCCATCAGCACCATGTACACGGTCAGTGGACGCTGGACACTAGGCCAGGTAGTCTGCGACTTCTGGCTGTCGTCGGATATCACCTGTTGCACTGCTTCCATCATGCATCTCTGTGTCATCGCCCTGGACCGCTACTGGGCCATCACTGATGCGGTGGAGTATTCCGCTAAAAGGACTCCCAAAAGGGCGGCCATCATGATCGTGCTGGTGTGGGTCTTCTCCATCTCTATTTCGCTGCCACCCTTCTTCTGGCGTCAAGCCAAAGCGGAGGAGGAGGTGCTGAATTGCTTTGTGAACACCGACCACGTCCTCTACACGGTCTACTCCACGGTGGGCGCTTTCTATTTACCCACCCTGCTCCTCATCGCCCTCTATGGCCGCATTTACGTGGAAGCCCGCTCTCGGATTTTGAAACAGACACCCAACAAGACTGGCAAGCGCTTGACCCGCGCTCAGTTGATAACAGACTCCCCAGGATCCACGTCCTCGGTCACCTCTATTAACTCCAGGGCTCCGGACGTGCCCAGTGAGTCCGGGTCTCCTGTGTACGTGAACCAAGTCAAAGTGCGAGTCTCAGACGCCCTGCTGGAAAAGAAGAAACTCATGGCCGCTAGGGAGCGCAAAGCCACCAAGACCCTAGGGATCATTTTAGGAGCATTTATTGTGTGCTGGCTGCCCTTCTTCATCATCTCCCTGGTGATGCCTATCTGCAAGGATGCCTGCTGGTTTCATATGGCCATTTTTGACTTCTTCAATTGGCTAGGCTATCTTAACTCCCTCATCAACCCCATCATCTACACCATGTCCAATGAGGACTTCAAACAAGCGTTCCATAAACTGATAAGCTTTAAATGTACAGGTTGACTTGTCAATGGCAGTGGGGTCGCCTAAGCGACCTTTGGGGACCAAGTTGGGTCTTTTGACAGGTAGGTCAAATCTTCTTTCCCTGTTACTGGGTGGAAGCAAGGCTCTCTCTCTTGGGCAAGGGCAATGGATCCTCAGAAGCCAGGCAGAAGCCTAGCTTCTCTGAGAGAGCACTCTGGAATGTGAACAGCTCAAACTCCTAAAAGCTTCCATGTTGAGGAGCTTAGCTTCCTCCACTCAAAGTCGGGGCTCAGCACAGATCCTCCAGCAGCCAATCAAACAAAAGGTTGCAACTTTTTAACATTGATGATGGGATGGGTATCCCTGCCCTGTTTTGTTGTTACCCTCCAAGCCAGTAGCACTTGTAGGTGTTGTCTGAAGCCTGTCTGAGACACCTCTACATACAGCCTGGCAGTACTTGAACTAGACAATTGATACCCTGTGCTCTGGGGAGAACTCTGTGTTACAGCTTAATTTTAAAAACACTTTGGCATCCTTCAGTTTTCATTTATTTATTTAAATTTGGTTGGAGAAACTTGTGGATTTGGTGCTTCAAACACAGAACGTGGCTTGGACGGCACAGAGCAACCTTGAAGAGTTAACAGCAAAATTCTGATGCTAAGATCTCTATTTTTATTACAATCAAAAATTATATGGGGGTGGTGGGTGGGCATGGGAGAAAGGGAGCGTTACACTGAGAACCAACACCTAAGATTGTTTGTTTTCTGCAGATTTCTAATTTTTTTAATTCCTGTTTAGTGATCGTCAAACCACAACTCTTAACAACTCAAAACATGATGTGTGCTAGTGCCAAAGTCTGCAGGCTGCTTTGTTTTCCTAATCTCATGGACCAGTCGTTTTACACACTTAAATCCCCACTGACGGAGGATAGGCTGGGTTGCTCAGCCCAACTTGCTGCTGTCAGAAGAGATCAGCAAGTGGATTAGAGTTGTAAATGGTTCCTTACCAAGAAAGTATCTTTATTCCTTATCCAATTCCGTGATGCACGAAGGAGACTGAAGAAACATCAGCGATTTCTTATATAATTAAGAAATGAAGGGGGAAATAGGAGGATGTATATTTTTGACTTGTAAAAATATCTTCAATTGCATGAGACAATTTTTGATAATCATTTGCACTCTCTCCCATCTGTGATTCCATGGTGTGCAAATTTATAAAGTAACCAAGAGAACTGGTTTCCCTGTTCAGAAATCTTCAAATGCAGCCAGAGTCCCGAATCTATCAAAGTGCGCGTGCGTGTGTGCGTGTGTGCGTGTGTGCATGTGTGCGTGTGTGCGTGTGTGCGTGTGTGTGTGTGTGTGTGAGAGAGAGAGAGGTGTGTGTGTGTGAGAGAGAGAGAGAGAGAGAGAGAGAGACAGAGACAGAGACAAAGAGAGAAGGGGGGGCTGAGATTCCAGCTTGTTTTGTCCTTGCTATTGAAGTTTGGGCAGGAACAGCTAGGAAAATTACACATTAGAAGTTTAGAAAAGCCGAGAGAGCCTGAAAACAAACCTATTTTCTTTATAACTTATAGAAACAAACCTCAGGCTTACTAAACAGCCAGGAAACTGGCAAGCCTTCTAGCCTTGGAAATGTGTTAGTGACCTGCCACTTCAGTGACTATAACATCTGAAATAATTTAAGCGGATCTCCTTTTCTAAGTTTCAATAACACTTAGCTATTGGGATTCACTTTAGGGGTTACACAATACAGTAAAATTACATACTAGAAGATGAAAAAATGCACTTTCTTAATAAAAAGAAGTAGTCCTGAAGGGTTAACTGTAAGAACAAGTGTGTATTTGGAATGTTTAATATGCCAAAGAAGATTCACAGTCCTTGCTTCAGAGGCTGTCTGCGCTGGAGACCTTTTGTCTGCAGAAGGAAGTTGTCTTTATAAAATGGATCCACTCCCTGCGTGAAGCTGCCCAGTCTAGATCATCAGACAATAGATGTAGTGAGCTGAAGTATACTGCTTGCCTACTGTGCAGACCTTCACATTGGGTAATGACTCTTGAAAAGATGCTATTCAAATGTTCACATGTACTGTAGGTAAAAAAGGGAATTTCAACCAACATTATACCTGACACTGGAGTAGGATGAAATCTTAGGCATTAGATAATCCTATATACTGGGATCTATAGTTTCTTCTGCTTGATCCCAAGCTTCTTTGTGCTTTGTGACATTTCTCCTATGGAGGAATGCACATAGAGCATGGCATTTGTTTTTTATATTGCTAATATGTTGGTCTTCTGTTTATGTAGCTGTGTTTTCCTGGGGTCTAAGAGGCAAATAAGTCAACTTTTAAAAGCCTTAGGGGAAAATTAATGGGAACAAATAGCCACTTGCAAATGATTTCTTTATAGGGCACCTACAATGATTGTGTCATCATGTTAACAAAACATGGTCAATTTATACAAATGGGTTGTTTGTCATTTTGTAAATCACCCACCTTAATTATTGCTTGAGTATTTGGCTGAACTGACTGAATTTTGGGCATCGTGTATCAAATAGAAGCTTGCAAACCTTTGTAGTGATAAGAGATCTAGGATCATCATCCAGCATTGCACATGATTATGCAAGGTGTATATTCATCCCAGGGGTATGCAGTTAGGACTGTTAAGTTCTTATTGCATATAAGCATAGTTTATTTCATAAACTGGACACGTGTCTTTTTTGCAGAACATAAAATGGGAGATGGAAATGTTTAACTTACATAGAAATGAAGCTATATTTTCATTGACTATGGTAATAAATACCATTTTCCATATTGTTTAATTGCACAAAATTTCACTCAAGTATATGAATGTATACTCATCTAAAATTACAAATATTGTCTTGTGTTTGTAGGAACTTTAGAGTTTCCTTAAAAAAAAAAAAGGACCCTGCACCCATGGAATGAATGTTTAAGGAATTCAACAAATTTTCTATAGAACAACAACATTGTTCACTTTTCCTCTCTATTATCTTCATTTTATCTTCTTTAAGCAGGAAGCACTGAGAGGACTCTAACTTATTCAAGTGTCTCAGATGTGTGTATTTGTTGGAGTTCTGTGTCTGAAATCACCTTTGGTATTTTACCTCTCAGAAAATGTGTAATTGGAAAATACATTTAGGTAAATGATAAAATAAAAGTCCTTTTTGTGTTCTAAAAAGTGTTTAGTAGTAGTTGTATTATTATGGGAAGACTGAGTTACCTAGTTCTGGGGCTATGCTTTGAAGTCTGAGTCCTCACAAGAGGACTGATGACAGTTGGCAGGGTGATAAATGGACATGTGCCAACATGGTTCAGGGAGTTCAGTCTATGTGTGTAGGAAGAGTTTGAAAAAAATTTTGGACTTTGTAAAGAGGGAAAGTTCCATCTACTACCGAAAAGTTATCTTGATCAGCACTTCAAAAGGAGATCTTCTGAGTGTTCTGGAATCTGACGATTCCAAGGTCCTGTGTGGTGATTAAAATACAAAAGGAAAGAAAGGAGGCGAGTAAAATAGACTTGTCTCTGACCTCAGGAGAAGTTGAGTGATCCAAAGAGCTAACTAGGAAGGTCACTTCTGGAGCCAGAATGTTCCAGGTTTCAGTGATAAATGTAGATGGTAGAGTATGCGGTTTTCTTTCCCAAATACCATCTAGCTTTAAGTTGTTGCAAAGACTTAAAGTCTATACATATTGAATAAGAGGTTTGAGTTTGGAAGGGGAGAGAGATTCAGAAATCTTAACTCTTCTTAGTCATTTCTTCTAGGTTCTTCCTTTACAGGGAAGCACTTTAATTGAAGCATAGAAAAATCAAGGTGTAGACTGAGGAAGTTTTAATTAGCTAGAATGGGGAGTTCTTGGCTAAATTAGAAGTGATTTAGATTAGCAGTTTTTCACCACCGCCTCTCTTGGCTGTTGATTCCTGGTCCAAAGTGCAAAAGCAAGGAAACGGTTTGCAGTAGCTAGAAGGTCAATGAGAAATATCCAGTTTCCAATAGCTTCCTTCATTCCCTTTAAGCCCTCTTTCCCCTCTTGTACAGATGTGTGGCTGTCATCACCAGTCCTCATTCTCTGACCACATTCGCACTCCCTTCCCATCACCCCATTTTTCTCTTTTAGTCATAACCAATAGTGATGCGTAGAATTTTTATTTTAGCTCTGAAGGACTGATTTGGAAGCCAAGAATTTTTATATTATATAAAAGGAAATTGTTGCTCCAAATGCATATATATGTGGAGGAGGTAAAATGCTTTCAACTGGAGCATCTTCTGGAGTTTTCAGAAGGAAAGGGTGTGGGAAGGGACTGAAGCTTCTGCAACCCTGGGCCATCCACCAGGGGGCAGAAGGCCTCTGAACAGTCAGCCAGCTCTGCTGCTTCCAGTTAAGGTTGTCTCAATTCTTTCTAGGTGATTTGCAAGTGACACTAACTCCTCCTCGAGATCCAGTGAAAACTGAGCTCTCTGAGTCTAGAGAGATAGGGTTCATCACTGATACAAAAGTAGCAGGTTTTTCAGAATTTCAAACTCAGGCAGGCAATTTACCCAAAACACACTCAAAGTGTGTATACTCAGTTATTTGTGTAACTTAGAATTTGATATTGTGACCTTATTATTAATATGACACAGCATGGAATCAGAAGTTAGGAGACAATGCATTTATTTAAAAATAAATCAAACTGTTTACTTAAACATCTATCATCATTGGAAATTTTTTCATTACTTTCTTTCCTTTTTTTTATTTTAAACTTTGTTTTGAGGTTGATATACTCACAATTCAAAAGTAGAACATTTGCCAATTAAAGACAGGCCTGTTACTTTTCTACATACAGAAGCAAGGCATACAATATATACATACATGAGACTCTTTCCCAGAAGACTGATTTTTTCCCATTTATTTATTCATTCGCATTAAGATCTCTGCCCTCCCTCTCCACTCACAGAGTCCCTCCTTCAATTTTTCTCCCTTTGTCCTCTAAGAGGTTGCCCCACATTATTCCCTCAATCCTGGTGCATCAGGTTTCTGCAGGGT